CTCCCCCAAACTAGCGCAGGTATACTCTGCAATCACTCCGCATATCATCAGAGGCTGTGGATCAACAAACAACCAATGGGTCTCCCAAATCTTTGAAAGGGCAAGAAAAAGGTTCAATCATTGGATTCTTAGACACCTTCGGCGCACAGCTGCCATGATGTAATCCATGGCAATACCTGGGCAATCTCGACCTGTGAAGAAGCTGTCCAAGTGCAAGCAACTCTTTGAAGCAGCTTCGCACTTCATCTGGGCCAAGAAGTTTCCTTCAGAGTGTTGTTGAAACCGTTCATGTATTTTTGAAGGTGACCATGGGTTTTGCGACATCAAAGGCTTGAAGTGGAAGCACAAAAGCAACACTTTGAACCACATCTATACATTGCCCAGACACTCAAATCGTAGCAGCAAATTCGGCGCCCAATTGAACAGCTGACCGAAGTTTTCCGGCGTGGGGAATCTTGGGACAAGCGTGCAAAACAGGCGCAGAACCCTTAGCCCAATGCTACGTGTAAACCATTTTAAACCAACCAAGAGATAACCATAAACAACAAAGATTCCAAAAAAGATCAAACAAGCCCAAGAGCGGCTCAGACATCCTGGCTTGGCTTGAAGGTCTTGCAGTAGAGGATGGTCAACGCCGTCATCATCAATGTCAACTAGCTTTCGTCGCTTCTTTCTTTTGCCTGACGGGGAACTGTGCAAACTGTCAAAACACAGGCGCAAACCGCTAATACGCATGTGGAACCCGTGGAAAAACACAACGTGAATCAATGGCCAGGCCTTCCTGTCAAACAGGGCTTACAGACTGCTCATCCATATCATCTTGGAATGGAACTGCCTGTGCAAGGGGTGGTTAAGAAAAACAAGTCGACGCTTCTGGTTTCATTTTTGCAACCTCCAACTTTGTGCGTGTAAAAGAAAAATCGTATTTAAGCCGCCCACGTCATCCGCAGGAGAGGGGTCAAGAAGGGAGCGCCGTACTCGCTGCTTCTTTGGCGCCATGCTTGAGACCACGCAACAGCTTTTTGCGCAAATGCTGAAGGACAAAACTGTCTCCACAACATCTCAAAGACGCAATGCATTTGCTTCGCTGTCCAATTATCTATCTATCTCAATCCAAAGATTTATTCTTGCAAAATCACCTGCGCACAGCAGCGCATCCTGATTTTTTTCACACTATCATGTGTCAACTGTGGTGTAGAAGGGCTAGGATGCATACTGCATTCAACACATCAACCAAACAGTGTTGATCAAGAATCTCTTTTGTCGTAGACAGTTCTTTTTTGTATACACTTACATCTTCTAGCCGTACACCATCTTCTCAAAAACCGTTGAATCCTATTTCACAAACATGACTTCAATGAAATGTATTGCAGGGTTCTGTTTCCTATAACCAAGGATGCAAGATATTCGTCCATTTTTGAAGTACTTGCGAGTACGTGGGATCAATTACATTGAAAGCTTCCGACCTCACCTTTCCTTGTGGCAGTGCATCAAAAAACGGAAAGCTTTCTGCGTAAAGCCGGGAGTCTGGGTCTGCTGGCATCCTGGCTTCATGGAAGCGATGCAGTCGCACCCTGATGTCACGCGGCCTGCGCATTGTAGAGGATTGCAAGTCCCCACGGGTCCTCACGCCACTTTGCCTCGAGAACCTCGAAGGCATCCATGTCCAATGCCTTCATATCTGAAGATGTAGAACGAATATCCTTGGAGCAGAACTGCGTTTATATAGTTGGTTTCGGGATCTGGTCAAACCAAAACACATGGCATGCCCGGACATGTTTGGAAGCCAGTTGGGTGGCAAAAAACATGATGAAATACAGGGAAAGTAATATTTCACAGGTTTGGGTATCAGTTCTGATTCAAGAGTTGTCAATGTACTTGTCATACATTTTCTTAAGCAGAAGGTGGCCCTCCTGGTCATAGACGTTCATGGGACCGAAGCTACTATGATCGAACTTCACATCTTCAAGGGAAGTGTTCTTTGGTGTCAACAAGTGCAAAGGAGCACGTCTCAATCTGCTTGTAGGGCATCTTCCACCGTATGGCCAAAATGTACCTTTGGACAGATGTCAGGGGCAGCGAAGGCTTCGGGGGGGTGTACTAGAAAACAATTACTTCTAACATGACTACTTAAAGGAAAGGTGCCCAAGGTCTCCTTCTGCCAATCCATCCGTGACAGTGCCAGAAAAACTTGGGGATCGACACTCTCTCCACTTTTCTGCATATGGTTGATGATGTTGTTCACAATGTCATTCTCGCAGTGCCGCTCATTGCGCGCATAGCGACGTCTCTTCATACTTCACAGTAATGATTAGCTATATACACATATATATGTTTGTGTGTGGTCATTCACTGCAAAACATTTCCTGTAAAACTGCTGGATGCCCTGGCAAAAACAGTAGGATGAGTTTGGTTCATCTTTCTCAAATTATGAGCCTGAAGGTTCTGTGGGGACGACATTTGTTCACCCACTGTACACAGCTTTCACTGTAAGGTCTTTGAACATTTGTTTGGCTCAGGTTTGCATTATACACATGCAAGGTGCCTTGGAGAAAAAGCACCTGTACTACAGCCAGCTAGGGCTTTGTTGCTTTCGCAAGCAAACTGCATGGTGGGCAATCAGAAAATGAACTTCGAGTTCCCCACCAACCAGAATAGAAATCAGGCCCTCTGGTACAGCCACCTTTTTTCATCCACAACATCTGCAGAACGGCAGCTCTTGCAAATGTTGGCGCAGAACGTGTTCAGCAAAGCAGCTTCAGCAGTCTTCGCAATAGCTGCAGCTGCCAAGACACATGCTGCGGGAGGACCGCAAAGCACCACCCCAAGCGCTATTTTGCTATGTCTGGGTCTTGGCAGCTGAGCATGTTATCCATTTCACTGACAGCTGATCATTCTAAATTGACAGCTGGATACCACGAGTTTAACTTCCAGGATGTTAAGCCATCAAACGTTGGTGCGATCTTCGAAGTCATCCTAAGTTGAGAGGTCTCGGAAACCTGTGCTGCATATGGATCCGGTCTTCGATTCCCTGGGGCTAGGCGGCATCTGGGCTTGTCGGCGCTCGATGATATGTAGCGCTACCCTCTGGAAAGTAGTCTGATTCATGGCCTCCTTCTGAGCTGTCACTATCGCTCATTGTGCGTCGGCTGTAGCTGCTCTAGTCGAACGAAGGCGAAGCGCGCCCGTTAGTTCGGGTGTCTGGAGCAAAGAGAGCTCCGCTACCACTTTGACAGTGGCAGCAAGTATGACACAGTATCCCTGGATCAGGCTTACAACCTAACAGTCTGCACAAGAGCGAGTGAGCGAAGGCAAACGAGCGGCTTTTCTGTCACGCAGTAAGTACCTTGAGCCAAACATTGTGGTCCGTCTATGCGTTGCGTAAGAGCATCAAAACAAAAACCGTATGAAGCAACAGCATACAAGGGAACCCAAAAACAGGAAACAGAGAGAGAGGGGAGGGGGAAGGAAAGAGAGAAAGCAGGGAAAGGAAGGAGACAAAGAAAGGAGAGGAAGTTGAAGAAGAAGAGGAAGGAACATAGATGTTTTTAGATCAAGAGGTAGTTAGAGAGATAAAGATGGAGAAAATGGAAAGGATATACAAATTTGAAAGATGGATGGTTACATAATTGGATAGACCGCCTCGCGCTACGCTCTTAGTAGAAAACAGTGTCCTTCTAATGGCCCGGGAGCGTGGAAGGAAAGGTTATGTAGAAGTAAGAGGTGTGTATAAATACATTTGAACTCTATAGTTGCATTTGTTGAACTCTATAGTTGCCTTTGCATGTACGCTACAAAGGCACAGGCATAGTGACTTACAACGCCAAGGGCATATACGCAATGTTCTGACGTTTGACGGCACCATCTGGCATTATTTGCCGGGTGAATATTCAGGATTCTATCTGGCACGTAGCGGCCTTCTATCTAGCTAGCTTGCGTTCTAGCTGGCGACGTGCGGCGCACGCATGTGGGAACCGGAAGTTGACCGTAATGTTTCTGCGCGGCCTGCAAAGTCAGCATCTGCCAACAACCCTATGGACGGTGCCTCTATTGGATCTCCTACCCAACCAATCATCCTTAGCGCAACTCATATTAATAGATGTAACTTGGCATCATCGTTGACTGTCCACTTGTTGATGTTTCGCGCAAGGTTATTGGTCGATCCTGGTAGGCGGGCTTGGTGGCGAAGTTGCAAGCCCCACCTGAACCGCAAATCCCGAGGACGAGCAACGCAATTCGCGTTTCACCTCATTTTTGGGCGCCAAACGCGCGCGATTCCCACAAAGGTTCAAGCGCCTCGTCCGTTTAAGGTTTAAGGAAGAAGGAATGAAAGAAGAGAGAAGATGCGAAGATGTGAAGAGAAAGATATTTCGACAACCCCGCATCAAGATAAGAACCCTTGGCTCAAACGTTCCAGGAAAGATCCCAACTACGCTCAGAACAAAGCACTGCAAAAATGAGCATCGCGCTCTTTGGCCTTGCCTCAGAATCCTTTACAGTGAAGAAACTTCCAGCTTTGCCACAGCTGCTCAACTGTTGCGTTCTGGGCTGCGAAACATGTTTCCAAGGCTTCAAGCATCCTGTTCTTGGAATGGGTCAGGACTTCCTCGTTGTGTGGTTTGCCGAAGCCTCGGGCAACTGTCACTGGCACTATAGAAACTGCTGCAATCCGATCCTGAGTCGATCCCCCGCCTGCGCTGATGAACCTCTCCACCAGCATGCCCATCTCATCAAACACAATGCCAAGTTGCTGGAGCAATTGGCCAAACAAACCCTCTTCCAAGGTTTTGGCCACAGCTCCTTGTAGCAACGCGTGTCCTTCAACAACCGAAGCTTTTTTGAGAACAACGCGCAACAACAGGGTTGGTTGCAGAAACGAGTTGTAGCAGGTTAAATCTCATCAGCCCTCACGGCGCGGCCGTCCCGCTGTCACTTCAGCAAATTGAAAGTCTTTTGAGACGTTCGGTCGCTGATGTATTTGCGTCCCCCATTCAGCGCAGCTACCAAACACGTTCGCGCCCCCCCTGTCCTGAACCTTTGGCATCAGGCCTTGCGCATAATGTCTTCAATGGACTGCCATCCAGCTTCGCTGTGGCGTTGAACGTGGCGAGGTCAAGCCTGGCGAATCTCTTCAAAATCTCCGTGTCCAACACCTGAGCGTCAGCACGAGTGTGGAAGGTGCAAGATTTCTGCGGGTGGAAGAACCATTTGCAACATGCCGATATGAACGTGAAGCACTATCCTTGAGAGGCGCCTGTGACACTAGCGAACCAACTAATGGGTTCGTAGCTGACCAAACCCCTTGCAAGGTCTGATGAACCTTTGCATCTGCCCTAGCGAAGGTGGCGTATGCAGACTTCAAATCCAGGAAGGACATGGAGCACCTGCAAGGAAAATTGAGCTGTGCAAAAAACACTGCAAACTATTTCGCGGCGACGCCTTCGCTTATGTCAACATGAACCAACAGGAGGAAACGCCCTATTTCATCCAAACAGCCTTGCAACCGCACCAAATTTGCAAACGCACCGCTGGACATGTTCAACTGCTACAGGCGCAAACGTCAAGTCCTAAAAAAATATCCCGGCAAGAGACCCAAACAGTGTGCGAGGTCTAGACGCACAACGATCTAAGCACAGCCGCTTAACTACCACCGTAAGAACACCTAATGTGTGTCCACGCTGTTTCGGGAAACTTGAGCGGGGAAACACAAAAGGTAGAGACGGGTAGCTGTCGGGACCTTTTCTGGTGAGGGACTGTCTCCGGTGTTTCAGGAACGTTCCCCTTGGTCAGTCATGGATGAAACCAACAAGGCCAAAGAGCACAAGAAGGGTCAAGAGGAACACCGTTGCGATCAGATTGCGCCACCCGGCTCTGCAGAGAGGCTACGTTGCGTCGACGCTCGTTTGTGTAAAGGTGTGTGAAAACAGGCGCGCGTAAAAGTCGCAACGCGTAAACGCTCGCATGTTAACCAGCTATGGTCCCACAGCTACACGCACTGTGCCAGGATTACAGGCCTGCACGCGTTGCGTCGAAGCCGCCGGTACTGCCAGAGATGGACGTCACGCTATGGTGGGTGGCTGATGGGAAGGGTGCGTAATAGTAAATAGCTGTGTATAGTGGTGCCCCACGATGCGGTAAGATGTCGCCACGCGAGGGTATAAGGCTGAGTCGAATGGTGCGCGAATTTGCAGAGAGGGTTCGTGCTGTATTGCGCAACCTCATGGCCAGCGTTGTACTGCTGTGACTGCTACGCGCATGACTTCACCTTATTCACCTTTTATGGTGTGACGGTGTGTCCAGAATGCTAGTAGTGCTGGCGAGGGGAGGGGAGGGGAGAGGGGAGGGGAGGGGAGGGGGTGCAAAACAATTGATTTATCAATGAATCATCACATGGGAGGGGGGGTGGGGGTGTTAGACATTGATCTACCAATCTTTAGTCCCGAGCAGGCTCTCAACCCACTCCCTTTGCTTCGCAAAGCAAACTCAAGGTAGTCCTTACCAGGCTACCTTTTGTGATATTGACATCTGTGAGTTGCGGCGCCGTGCTGTAATAGCCCTCCACCAAGATGCAGCCGCGAACACTTTGCGCGATTCAATTTGCGCGAAACCGTTGTAAACAGAAGCGTGAACTAGGAACATCTTTTGGGATCAGCTAGAGGATCTGGAAGTAGAAAGTCTAGAGATCCATTGAGTGTGAGTGAGAATGAGAGTGAGGGTGGGTGAGTGAGTGTGGGTGTAAGTGCGAATGTGAGTGTGAGTGTGACCGAGAGTGAGTGTGAGTGGGATCTGAGAGCGCAAAAGAAAATGCTGCGCCCGCCACGAAATCTGCATGTCGAGTCGAGGTTCACAACACCGTGAAATCTGCACTTCGAGGTTCGCAAAGATTTGAAGTTCCTCCCTATAGATCAGCTGAGGTTAAAAATAACATCTGAGGTTATTCCCAAAAAATAACCTCAACCATTGAATAACCTCAAGTTCTTGAGGTTATTTTTGATGTTATTCTTTTAAGAATAACCTTGAGGTAATAACCTCAAAACCTTGATGTTATTTCTAAGAATAACCTCAAAACCATTGGAAATCTTTCTGAAAACTTGGAGGTTTCCAGTATGATTAACATCAAATAGTTTGTCAAATAGCTAACAAATATATCCAACCAGCCATCAATATTTCAGCAAAAGTTCCAAATCTTTACCAATAACTACAATATTTCAGCCGAAAACCCAAATGCTTACACATAACTGCAAAGGACAAGCCTGGGTTCCATGTATAACAACCACAGAATGTTTGCAACTTTCTTGTTTTCTATGTGTGGAAACCAAAAGGAAAAGGAACAATCGCAAAAAAAGGAAAGAGAAAAGGACGAGGAAAAGGAAAAGGAAAAGGATCAGGAAAAGTAAAATGAAGAGGAAAAGGAAAAACAAAAAAATAAACAACAAGGAAAAAGAAAAGGAAAAAGGGAGAGGGAGATGAAGAAAAACAAGGGAAAGGAAAAAAGGAAGAGGAAAAGGACAGGGAACATGTTTTTTGGGGGAGAAGGAAAGTGCGGGAACAAAATCTAAAGACTAAAACTGTGGGCATTTTTTTGGTGAGGAAAGTTGAGGAAGCAAAATCTAATGACTAAAACTGTGGACAAAAGTTGTTTGGCGAGGAGAGTTGAGGAAACAACATCTGATGACTAAAGCTGTGGGCGCATATTTTTGGTGAGCAGAGTTCAGGAAACAAAATCTAATGACTAAAACCGGGGACAAAAGTTTTGGGTGAGAGAAAGAAAACAAAATCTAATGACTAAAACTGTGGACAATCTTTTTGCGCGGGAGCTCGGCTCCCATAATCTTGATTTCAACATTCCAGTCCGGACAACGATGGCAAATTTAGGCCGTTGCGTTTCCGCAAGGACATTGAGGTGGCCGTGCGTCTCACGACGAATCGTAGTGAGGCCACGCATTGCTTCCGTCATAACAAATTCTTTAAGCCAAACCTCGCGCAACATGACAGGATGTAAATTGCGAAGAACCTCGACTAGCTGCTCATAGTGCTCCTCGGAGCCGTCCTCCGCAAGCATCCTTGCTTGATAAACGGCTTCCGTTTCCGCTTCCGTTTCTGGAAAGCAGTTCACGGACAAGCGCCGTTCAATGGACTCGCCGCAGCGGTTCTCCCAATCAGTCTGAATCAGGTCGTCCTCATTGATGTCTTTGATCAAGTCGGCCATGGCTAGGCAATCCGTTTCCGGATGCAAGGTGGACGAGGAGCGACTGGGGAGAAGTTTGGAGCACCTAAGTTTAGTCTGAGGAGTGTGTGGTGAAGTGTGTGTGTGTGTGCGTCAACCCCTGTGCCTAAGGGTCTCTTTCTCGCGTTCTGTTTTCAGCAAGGGGATTTTCCAGCAGGGGGGCAGTGATCCCTTCAGCAGTCACTGCCTAACAAAGACACTGCTGATGGGATGTGATATTCGGAGAGGACGCTCTCTGAACGTACCTGCTGAGGTTTACGCGAGCTGTCACCCTACTTTTCCACGTTTTGATTCATGGTTCTTCACGCTACCACTACTACCCCAAAACCTTGGTCTCTGCAGCTGCACCGCGCCGCTCGTTTCGCCACCGCTGAGCTCTGCAGACACGAGAGAAACAACCGTTGTTCAAACACCGCGGTTTCTCATTCCACTTGGGAACTGATGTAACAGCAAACCAATGTCAGAGTGTGACTGGCTCAGTCGTCCCACTTCGGCGCTGGGTGTGATCCTCCGCAAGGAGGCGCCTTCTCATTCCGGAATTCGTGTAACTGCTTTCATCGCTCCCACCATACATTGGATTTTCTTAACGGATTTGGTTTCACTACTGAATTAACTGCTCACACGCCGCCGGGCTTCATGGAATACCCCTTGGATTCAACTCAATGCAATTTTCAGGATCGTTTCATTGATTTCACTTTCCATTTTTTTTGCAGCTTGCCTTTATTTTCAAGCAAGTATGCATCACGCACTCCACGACGATTGATTTTTGCTCAGATCAACCAAGTTTCACACCTTGTTCAATTTTCAGGACCTCATTCAACCCTATCCCAATAATCTCTCTTTCGCTTCCCTTTCCACCTTGATCCACAATCGTTACTTAACGACTCTTCCTATTTCAGCCGCAGCTCCTTTGTGCCATTTCAGCCGCTGTGATCCTTGGAAGCGTGCAGACGGACCCGCTTCAATGCATTTCCCATGGCCATACCCATATACACCACCTCCACCACAGCAATCTCCGCCACAACCAACTTACCCTTTACCTCACTCAGTACCAGCGACGCTTCCACATTTGCCACCCGACTTTTCCAGTCACTTACAATCTTGCCGGCCCTGAACCTATGACAGTCGCCACCACTTCTTCCTCACCACCTGCTGCATTGCCACCTCCCACAGTACAACATCCAGCCATGCAACATCCAGCCATCCATCCTTCAGCCATCACACCTCCAGTCATGCAACATCCCACCATGGCCCCTCCGGCCATCTCACATCCGGCAGTACAACATCCCGCACCGGTTACCCTTGCTCCACACCATCCACCACAACTCTCCACCACTCTCTCATGGGACCCACAACAGGGCGTTTGGCAACAGCAGCCTTTCTCTGTTTTCCCAGCCACGGTCCAACCTGATAACGCCACGGGTCCTGACCAACCCTCCACACAAGAACTCTCCACCGCCTCAGCTGCTGCGACTCCAGCGCCGACTACCGCAACACCACCCACATTACCCGCCATTGCGCCACCCGAACAACACAGGTGGCTTTGCAGGAGTGGATCGTACCTGCAATTGGCCCGCGGGCAGTTTGTCGCGAATGGACAACAATTTCAGTGCTGTGCCCCACTTTTCTGAGTTTGTGAAAGGCTTTGTAAATATATCAGCTGCTTGGAGGATGGTAGGGCCGTGAACTAACCGGTACCATTTCCGCCGGAACTGCTCCTCTAGCCAAGAGAGGTTGACTCTCTGGGTTTTATCGGTATGCCTAAAAGCTGGGGATTTGCCCGATTCAAGGATTCTGATCGTGGCTTGATTATCCTCAATGAAGACACCTTCGATAGATTTGGGAGCGAACAGCGTTAGGTCCAGGGATCCCTCACGTTCCATACCTAGGAATTCACAATCAGTTAGCGATTCACGGATCTCCTGTGACTCAACCTTGTAGTCAACATCATTTGGGCCATAAACACGAAACAAAGTTTTGCCCTTCCATTCCCCCCCGGATAGGATAGTCACCCTTGGACTTCCAGTTGTCCTGCTTCAGATCAAGGTTTCCCTTGTCATCGATCATGAGGGTGGTTCTGGCTAATCCGAGTCGGTTGAACGATATGGGGCATGACTTCGAGTCGCTCGGCACGTATAAGTGAGATCTGGGTTTGAC